GAAATTTTGCTGTCGAGCGGGGGTAGGTCGTCAGGTCGTATATAAGCACCAGTGAAACGGGAAAAACCGCAAAAAGTCAACAACCGGGAAAAGTTTTTTCCCCAACGCCGCAAATTCCTCCCAAAGACCAATATGACTCCCTCCTCCCTTGAGGTCAAATACGATCCCCCTTGTGACTACCACAACGATGACGTTCCCTGCTTCTACCCTTCGGGAACGATAAATTGCACTCAGCTACTGCGCTTCAACTTGAAATTGTGAAGATATCTTTGATTCCCAGCGAAAACGAAAAGGAAGACAGGAAAGGCCGTCGAGAACGAACCCGAATAAGACTGCTGCTTTTCAGTAATAGATCAGCATCGACAAAAAGAGACTTCAAACACGTACCTTGTGCATTTCGTTATAGCGCATTTTCTGCGTATGGCCATCAAATCGCTTGTAGGTGAAGTCAACAAATTCTCCACGATGACCAGGTTGTTCTTCAGGTTTTTGTGGAACACTCACAACAGCTGCAAACATAGTTCAACTTTAATTTAGCTTCTAAAAGCTGTTCGGAACGGTAACATTGAAGAGGCGAAACAATGCTAGTAATGCACTTACGCCATCGAAGGTCGACGTCTGGGAAGTCATCGAAGTTGCTAGTATCGTCGATACTCTTCACCTCTACCCTGATGGGTGCAGGGCGCTCTCTGGAAAGGAAAAACAGCGCTGTACAAATACGACTTGATACGAAAAAAATCCATTACTGTACAAATACGACTTGATACGAAAAAAATCATGCGTGCGAACGTGAATTTTGGCTTTCCTTTCTGCCGATATCGAAAGAATTCAAGAAGAAGCTAATCGCTTAACAATAAAGCAGTGTTTAGACTTCGCGATGCTGCGCGCTGTCGCGCTACCGTTGTAACCGCGTCCCATAGCTACCGACGGAATGCAACATTCGACTAGGCTGTATGATCAGGCAACTCGTACGCCAATTACCCATCCTTCCTAAAAGCATAGCGCTGGCGCCGATCGATAGCCGTTTATAGCTGCGTTCCCGTCTATAACATTGGAGGGCTGTTGCAACGGAAGATCATCGACCGTGTTGTGCGTCGTCGAGAACTACATCGATTCTGGGAGAATGCAGAAGGCAAAAGGCAATCTACTGGGAAGGCGGAAAAGTTCAAGAAGGAAATTTTAAAAAGCGGCAAAGGAGTGAGTGTTGTACCCCATCATTCAGTTCCTACATTCCACTTCTATTCAGGTTCGCGACGGCACTTTTAGTGCGCTTCGGCCTACACAATCACGTTGGAGAGGGGGGGGGGGGGGGGAGTGGAGGAGGGTACTCGATGTACAAGTGCGTCTTTTTATCATCTCAGACGATACTAGTACAAATGTGGGACCGGGACAGAACGAGGGCTTGATGTTCCCTGGCAGAAACCGATCCATCATTTGACTCCGGGCTGCACGCCTGGTAGACTAGTCGCTCACCACTACACCATCTCTACACCTTCAAGAGGAGCTACAGGCTTACTCTGATGGACGGCAGATCTGACAGAAAACTCCGACAAAACGAAGCCTGAAAAGAAACTTACCTAATATGGTTCCAATCGATACGTCTGAAGAATATGCACTGCTTTATTTCTTCCAATCCCCCATTGTGACCCATTCGTCGTTCAGGTTCACAACAAAATCGCTTGATGGTCTGTTAAAACAGCATTGAATTTGGAATGAAAACACGAACAAATCCTTCAGAAACGAACCGTTTTTGCATCCACACTAATTGGCATTTCTGGAGGGAAAACTAGTGTTTGTTGCCAATTCACAACCTTTCGATATGTTTCTTGAGGGGTTTCAGAGCAAAACGGTGGATAGCCTGAAGATTGTTTGGTTCAAAGACAGGATTCAAAAGTAACGAATTATAGCCCAAGGTGGAGAACAACTCACCAATAAGCATTTCATACAAAATAACGCCAAGACTCCACCAATCGCAACTTTTGGTATAGCCATTCGGTTGAAAGACTTCAGGTGCAATATAGTCCGGTGTACCTACGGTTGAGTACGCCTAAAGATTGCGTTGAAACATTTGAACGTTGTGTGGCAGTCAGGATTTGTAAAATAATTGAACGACGACTGAAGGTACACTTTACTTCGCTGCAGATGAAGGGGCGTGTCAGGGAGTGTGCCACGGCGCCAAACCCGTTCTCTGCCAGTTGTCGAAGCGAGTATGTGATAGCAACTGGTAGGAAAGGAGCGATAAGAACGAAATGATACAGTCTTGTCAGTTTCCTGCTTCAACAACTGGTGCACCAAACCCATCCCGCCTGACACGCCCCTTAGTCCACAGCGAACTAGACTACAAAGAAGAATATCCAGCGTCTTCCACCTCTTGAAATTACAGCGACTGCAAACACACAAAATATGGAAAACCCTTTGATGAAGCAATACACTCATATCGAAGTTGCCTTACTATGATAACAGTTGATCAGCGCTGTAAATAGCGCTGAAAGTTAAAACAAGGCTGCTGAGTTCTTGACAGAAGTCTTAA